AATCAAAAGATAATCTGCTTTTACAATACAAGTAACGTTATTACGTTATTAGGGTTTTTACATTACGAGGGAATATGTTTGAAGAACGAGGGGCGATATTGAGATTCCGTCAAGATTTTTTGGAACGAAGTTCCTTACGGCAGGCTTGGAGGAGATAGGGATTTTGCTGCGCGACCGAACTGAAACAAATGTGATAGTAAAACCGTAAGAAAAAGTCCGTGGAATAAAACCGTTAAATGAGACGTGCGCAGGCGCGACAGTCGTATACACAAGCGAGTAGTGGATAATAGAAGTAATTTCAGCACGAAAGGGTACAGGGGCGGGGCTTAAGTTGCGCGACTTGTAGCCGGGCCATCAGTGGCGTAACATCGATGCATTGAGAAGGGAGGCTCGGCTGAGTTGTACTTCTTTCAAAAACAATTAAAAAAAGAGCAATTTGTACAAAAGAATACAGACAACCATTTAATAAAAATAAATTAATTTGTTTGTTAAAAAAATAGACTTACGCAACAATAAATTATGATAATCTATCACACAAAATTTGGTATTTTTAATTATTAAACGAGTTTATAATGTGAGGGATTATAGCATGAGTAAAAAATTTCACGAACCCCTCATTATAAACCAGTATCATATACTATTTTATAGTCGACTAGTCTTAAATCAACAGTTAAATCTTTAGATAAAAGCGGGCTTAAAACTCTGAGAATAAGCAACCTATGACTATAATTATATGGTTTTTTATTTTCTGGCACAATAAAATTTATCGATACCGTAAAGTCGGATTATAATAAGGCTTAACGTTTTCTGTCTTTAACATCGAAGTAATAATCACAGTTCATATTCTAGCATAATTGTCGTTTATAACTAGAGCTTCGACTGTACCCTAATTTAACAGTTATTATTGCTCACTAAAAATTACATTTTTACTTCTTTTACTTACTTTTTTATTCAACTCATACATCGAATACAGCACTAATAATTGTTTAAATTCTTTTTCTATAATGTCAATGCTAATAAAATAGAAAAGTGATATTTTTATTAACCGCAATAATATTTTAATATGTAAAATTGAAATATTCATCGCCGCTGCCACTGCTTGCACGATATTTGTAAGGCCAAACCAAAACAATGTTCTGCGCACTCCCACCACCTGTACCCTTTCCTGTTGAAAGCTGCTCTAATACCTTTCTCTTTCTCCCTCTTTCTTTTCGTTCTCTCATCCCTTTTTAAATAATTAAAACAAATTCTCCCTTCAATTCCAAACATTTAAATATATATATATTTTGATAATTCTACCTATTTTACGTAATTTATTATTTCCTAAAATACTGAATTTCCTAAATACTTTCCTGTACTTAAATAAAAACTAATCAGCAAAATTTAAGAGAAAAATCAAGAAAACCTACATAAAATTGAGCACGATTTTTTTTTGCAAATTGTGTCGATTAGCCGAAGGAACTTCGTTCCTACCTGGTGTCCCACGACACCACATCTTTTCTTTTATTGTTTTTAGCTTGAAGGAGGAAGCTTACTTTAGTACACTGCAAATAACGTGCAATTAAAAATAAAACACTTCTATTTTCTAGTCGATGCCCAAATGCTTTTTGAACGCATGGCGTAGCTAACATCGTCGCTTCTATTCTATTGCTATTATTTAAATTGTCGGTATAGCCTCAAATTATTGTTAGACGCTAACTACGCCGTACATTCAGAAAAAATTTAAGTATCAAGAAGTAACAACTAGAGATCTCTTTATTTGATCGTTGTTTATGATACGTATATGGCGTCGTAAAGAACAATCATATATGCGAAATATTTGCAATGTACTAAAAGTTATGCTTCCTCCTTCACGCTAAAAACAATTGCGTTTACAGAATTTCAACATCTCGTAGGATATTAGGCCACGAAATTTTATCTGGAAGACCTATATCGTTAAGAGTATTTGTTTAAAAATATCTAGATACTACAGAATTTACATTTTTGGTTAAATATAACGTCATATTTGTTAAATATTGGTTAAATTCAACGGGAGTAAATGGTATATTTCCTTGCACATAAGTGATTAAATTCCACAGGTCCCCTGAATGGTTATTAAATTATTCTTGGAAATAAAATTATTATGTGCCTCTTACGTAACCCGTTTCATCGGCACTTTATTTCCTCTCTTATGTTTCAGGTCATATTAATTATTTACAGGGCTTTTATAAATGATTCTACGGGCGTAACTGGCTATGGATTTTGCAGTTTTAACTTTTTCAAGTGTGAATTACAGTAATTCTCGTTGATCCAAGCTCAGAGCAACAACAGGCATTTTCAAAACTCTTGGTGATTGCGCACGAAAATTTTGTTTTTGTGCCTTTGAGCAAGACATTTTCATTGTTATGTCTTGTTATCGCAATGGGACTTCGTAAAAACGAAGAGGATGTGTGTATTCTGTAACCGTTTGGAAGGAAGAATATTTGGCCCAATACCGTAATTTAATAATTCAAGAAACATCGTTAGAGGGTCACATTAGAGATGTAATCAACAGATTTGTTCGAACTGGCCGTGTCAACAAAGAGAAATCTCGTGGAAGACCTTTAGTATCTGAGGAAGTTGTTGATGATTTGAGACTACTTGAGCAGAATCCGCAAACACCTTTGACAAAATTTCCTCAGCAGCCAGGAGTTCCTGTTGCAACATGAAATTGAACAATGGGTATTGACGAAGGGATTACAGAACGTTTCTGAAATTAGAAAGAGAGTGAACATGTGCCTTGAACAAAATGGTGAATATTTTCAACATTTACTGTAATGTTATACAGCAATAAATTTATTTCTTTTGAAGATATGAAGCATTTAGGCAACCAGTATACAGATGCGTGTGGTCTTTGTCATGCGTCCTTGGGCATTTAGTACAGTTCAAATCTGAGAGGCGGCACGTTTACATGACCTACTGCGACTCTATAATCATTTATAGAAACCCTTTATTATTTCTCTTTCTGTAACCTTCGCAGTGGAGAGTTTACTTTTAATGCATTACTTAATAGTTAGATAAAAATCTCAAATTAATCGAGAAATTAAAATCATATGTAAACATGAGACCTAGGAATGTTATTGAGTAAATTATCTTTTCTGAAAGTTTTTATTCAAAATGCAGTTGCATTTATAACGTTACGCAATCTAGATTAAGTAAGAAATTGTCTAAGCAAGCACAAGTGAGTGTACTAACTTCTGAATAAAATTATTAGATTTGTAAAGAGCTATACCTAAAATCACTCATGCGAGAATAGTTATTAAAAAATTTAAGAATACGCCAATAATTATATGATCTAGAGTCAACAGTTATTTCTATATTTTTTCTGCTTTCTGAATAGATGCTGCACATGTTTTTTTCTTAATTCTTTTGTTTGCATTAATATTTTATTCACGTCCACGTGTATATTTATTTTATGTAATTAAGATAAATCCTACTTTTTATTAAGCACAAATTTCTACTATGGTGGCCGAAACAAGGCACTACTTTTTTTAAATAAATTAAAGTTAATAGATAAGTTTTGCAATTTAAATTGTTGTGTGTTGCTTAAATTTACTTAGGGTACGTATACCTAACTTTAGACACAAAGGAAGTTCTATCTGAATAACTTTACAGGTTGTTAATAAGAGAGACCGAATGTGAGATGGCACTTGTTGCGTCAATTAACCAACAATTATACGGATCCTGAAACCCACATCTAAAAATTTTCAGTGTTGTTATAGCCCGTAATTCCACGCGTAGTTGCAAGGGCAGAGGGCGCCACATGATGGAGCTTTACTAATGTGACTGGATCTTTTAAAAATAATAGTAGATTGACTAGCATCTAGTCACTGTAGACCTTACATCTTTGTATAATACCGAGAGAGTAATCAAAAACACGATAAAAATAGCCGTGGATTTCTGAAGTATCTTTGATCGAATTTTCGTCATGACAGGTTACGGTCAATGTTAAAGTTAAAATGCAACGATTATAGACAGTTTTTCAAAAATCCATGGCCATCTTATTGCTCCCTTGGTTACTATGTACGTTTACCGGAAAAAGTAATTAAACTGAATATTTAATTAATGAAATAAATTGACCAAAATTTGTTATTACAATAAATATGTAATATAGGTACGACGTATTCTCTGACATTTCATATATGTTTTTAAAAATACAATATATGATCTTCACGATTTTGTAAAAAGGGAATATCTCTGGAAAAAAAAACAACAGAACTTTACTATTGATTTTTTGTTTAAAATTTATTCAATGAAACTGTAACTCTAAATTTAATACAAAATTTGAGACAATTTTTTTGCGTATGTTGTTTAAGCTGTAGAATAATCCTCATAACTTCCACAAGAGTCACTAATTGTACTGGATTTCAAAACACGGTAAATCTTTTCCATTCCGAGGATATTTTTAAAATTCTGAAGAGTATTTTGAGGTGAAAGTTATTTTTGTTTACTGTCGTCTCTTAAGTATTGTATTTAAATTTGTTTATGTCGCGTCGGGCAAAACAAAATAATATCGTCACATAAAAGCGATAAATGGGTTTTATTTTTACCGCAATATTTTTAAACCATTTATTAAAAAAAATAAATGTTTTTCTATAGTTCATTCTGAGTCTTTGCCTAATGGTCACTGATGTAAAACTACAAAATAATGAGTAAAAGTTAAAAACAGCTTCCAAGTTAGGTACTGGTCGATAAAGTTTGACCTTCGCTTATATGTACTTATTTGGAACTGGATTTACCGTCGGTTTTTTGTTTTTTCAAAGAATTGGTGATAAGTAAGTCTTACTTATTATTCTTATCAAATCCTTGACTGCATTAGTATTTTATGCGGGTTGTTTGCCCTGAAAATGAAATAACCGGAATTATTGTTTTATCAGTTATCTGACTGTAACAAATACATATATATATACTGAAGTTACGTGTTGGAATTACCTACCACCTAATAAACATGATGCATTAATTCATTAACTGTGCAATGACCATTGTTAAGCTCAGACGGTATTAATCAAGCTGATGGTAACGCTGCAACTGTCTGTAATCAGATAAATAGTGTATTTTAAATTTGTCAGGTTTTATCGAATAGTCTGGTTCAGTTTCCAGTTGTTGTGAATTTATGTAGGACAATAAAAGTAGAAAGAGGTGAGTACGTGCAAGTTTATATATTTGAAGTATTGAAAAGTATTGTAAACCTCAATTTCATTTTAAACGTTAGAGATTTTTTTTTAAATTAAGTCAAATTAATTGTTATTTGAAATTTTTATTTTGCTCCATAAAACAGTAAACTTTCTATATTTTCAGAATATTAATACTAAGTGAAAAAAATTGGTCTAAAGAGTTTAGACAGTACTTCCCTCGCTGTCGGAAACTTGACGACTGCATGCCTATTGTGTTTTTTTCTCATTACATTTTTGTAGTGGGAATTTAAAAAAAATTGCGATGACGTCATCAACATTTTTGCAAGGACACGTATATCAGTTGGGATAGATGTAGTGTAATACTAAGAATAAAATTATTGTATTCCCAAATTTTCGGCAAAATGAATTGGGTCGTTTTGAATATTGATTTTTTATAATCAATAAAATAACGAAACAATTTACTCGCGTATACGGCAACTGAAAATCGTTTATGTATAAACATTCTGAATTTCAGATGACAAGCGTAACAGCATACGTGCATGAGAGTCAAACAGAGAAACTGTAAACAAAACGACCATCGGTTTTATTGCTTCGACTTCCGCTTATTATATAAAACATTGGGTTTTATTTTAATTCTTGACGGTGAAATTCACAATTGGTTGATTATAAACATGTCTATTTCACATTCGCGGAACCAAGTGAACGAATAAAACAAATGCAGGTCTGTAATGTTAAAGTCGATGTAAATAAGCGTGCTACCCTTATGTTTCAACCGAGTTTTTCCTTTAACAAATTTTGTGTCTACCAAATTGGGTTGGTTGGGATGTAATACTAATAATAAGTGTTGCCTTTAATTTAATCAATAAAATAAATTGACTTCATTAATTTTTTTGAACCACCTCTTAAGAAAATCTAAAAAATATGAATGGAATGATAAATCACAAGTACAAACTCATCATATTTTTTGCATTTTAGATAGGATTTATTCAGCAAAATTTAAGGGTGACGTCATCAATTTTTTTAGGAGGGATGAACAAATACATTTTGAACAAAAGTTTACCATGCTTATAATAACTTTAAAATATTCCCAAGATTTCAAAGCATTCGGTTTTGTAATTCCTGATTAAATCGATAAAATAAATTCACGCCTTCATTAATTTTTTTGAGTCACCCTGCATATGCAAATCCAAAAATATGAATGGAATGATAAATCACAAGTACAGACTCATCATATTTTGTACATTTTAGATACGATTTATTCGGCAAAATTTTGTGGTGACGTCATAAATTTTTTAGGGGGGACGACCAAATACGTTTTGATCAAAAATTTACCATGCTTATGATAATTTTAAAATATCTTCAAGATTTCGAAGCATTCGGTTTTGTAGTTCCTGAGTAAATCAGTAAATTAAATTTACGCTTTCATTTATTTTCTTGAATCACCCTGTATATGCAAATCCAAAAAATATGAATGGAGTGATAGATCACAAGTACAGACTGATCATATTTTGTACATTTTAGATATGATTTATTGGCAAATTTTCGAGCTGACGTCATCAAGTTTTTGGAGGGGATAAGCAAATATATTTTGACTAAACATTTATTATGCTCTTTATAACCTTAAAACATCTGCAAGATGTCAGAGCATTCCGTTTTGTAGTTCCTGATTAAATCAATAAAATATATTTACGCATTCATTAATTTTTTTGAGTCACTCTGTATATGCAAATCCAAAAAATATGAATGGAGTGATAAATGACAAGTACAGACTCATCATATTTTGTACATTTTAGATATGATTTATTCGGCGAACTTTCGAGCTGACGTCATCAAGTTTTTGGAGGGGATAAGCAAATATATTTTGACTAAACATTTATTATGCTCTTTATGACCTTAAAACATCTGCAAGATTTCAGAGCATTCGGTTTTGTAGTTTCTGATTAAATCAATAAAATATATTTACGCATTCATTAATTTTTTTGAGTCAGCCTGTATATGCAAATCCAAAAAATATGAATGGAGTGATAAATTACAAGTACAGACTCATCATATTTTTACAGTTTGGATAGGATTTATTCGGCAAACTTTCGAGCTGACGTCATCAATTTTTTGGAGGGGATAAGCAAATATATTTTGACTAAACATTTATTATGCTCTTTATAACCTTAAAACATCTGCAAGATTTCAAAGCATTCGGTTTTGTAGTTTCTGAGTAAATCAGTAAAATAAATTTACGCATTCATTAATTTTTTTGAGTCACCCTGTATATGCAAATCCAAAAAATATGAATGGAGTGATAGATCACAAGTACAGACTCATCATATTTTGTACATTTTAGATATGATTTATTCCACAAACTTTTGAGCTGACGTCATCAAGTTTTTGGAGGGGATAAGCAAATATTTTTTGACTAAAGATTTATGATGCTCTTTATAGCCTTAAAACATCTGCAACATTTCAAAGCATTCTGGTTAGCAGATTAAAAATTAAATTTCAAAATGTTGTTTTATAATTTTGATTTTTTTTCCAAAAATCTGGACGTTTCGAGTGAAAAGTCGATTCGGAGTTGTAAACTACATGTGTAGGACTATGTTATTTTATACAATTGAAAACCCATTTACTATGTACAATTTTGAAGTGACGTCATCGCATTAGTGGTGGGGATGATTAGACAAATTTTGGTTAGCGTTTTACCATCTACATGATATTCTTAATATAAGTACAAAATTTCACAACAATCGGTCGAGTACTTTCGGAGATTATCTGTCTAATAAAAATCCGGGACGGCAGACGGACGGACAGACGGACGGACAGACGGACAGACGGATAGACAGACGGAAATGGGAGACCTATTTCTTCGTCTTCTAGGGGTCATGAAAGATCGAGAAAACGTAAAAGTAGAGAGTCGACCGACGGACTCGATTACAATACTTCCTTTGCTTACGCTCGGGAAGTAAAAATTATCAATTATTACCGAATGTAATTAACTAATTAATTACTGATTCTTACATCTTAAAAGCTTCAAATATAATAATTTTTCTTTCTCTATTTACCAATCTGGAAACATTGCATGTTTGGTATAATATTACGTCAAGAATCTTTTTTTTCTAAATAACATATTAATTATTTGGATGGACCCACCATTCGTTATAAATTGAAGAAAAAACAACTATAATCTGCCATTGCAAATATGAAGAAGTAATTTTTTAAATTAGCTGTATCAGCCACACTATGCCGCTTTTTAACAATTTAATAACCAGTACCACGATTCTAAAAAATGTTAAATACACTCATATTTCTCCAACGTGTAATTTTCGGCTTTAAACAATTGAACATTGTCGTTTGAGAAGCAATGACACATGTTTTTGTTAATTATAAGTTACTACTCTTCGTGTGTTTACATTTATGTAATTCTTCATAAACGTTAAAGTCACTTAATTGTTGGATCAAGGACGAAATTTCTCGTTTCTAATAAAAGTGTACCTTTGGGTTTTCGCACAGTTGTGGTTACTCTGTCGTGTGGTAAAAAACAAGATGACCGCTGCAACTGTCGACGATCTGCACTCATGGGTTCAGAAAATGATGACTTCTCTAAGCATTAACGACTACAAGTTAGATGTTAGTGGAAATACAACAAAGGGCGATGGATATTTAGGTGAAGTGACGTTTCTGAAAGTACAAACCACGAAAAATGGTGCGAAGAAAGATTACGATTTGGTGATTAAATCTGCGAAAAAGAGCGAAGAATTGAGGAAACAAACGCCAGTTAAAGAAGCGTATGACAGAGAAACGTTATTTTATAGCAAGATATTTCCGGTTTTGGACGAATTCCAGAAGCAGAGAGGAGTCGAGAAGCCTTTTGTTAACGTACCAAAGTGTTACTGTGTGTCTAGCGAAATCACTAAAGAAGCTGTTATTTTGCAAAATCTGAAAACACTGGGTTTTGATTTACACGACAGAAAGAAGCCTATGAATTTAAAGCATATTCTTATGGTCTTCCAAAACTATGGGCGATATCACGCTTTGTCCATTGCTTATCGACATAAAAAACCCGCCGAATTCAAAAATTTGACCAAAAATCTGACAGATCTCTTCGGACAGTTTATAATACAAACCGACATGTTGGGTGTTTTCACCAAAGAATTCCAAAATTTACAGAAAGTGCTAGAAAAAGATCAACAAACCGAAGCACTGAAAAAGTTCGAAGGGTTTGAAAAAGACTTTGAGAAGATTCTGATAAATTTTACGAATGAAGACAGTGACCCTTCAGTTCTTACCCACGGTGACTGTTGGAACAACAACTTCATGTTTAAATATGAGGTAAATCGTAGAAATAGTAAACATTTTTAATACATTTATTATTTTAGGGCAACGATAGGACGAAGCCGGTTGATATGTGCTTCCTGGACTTCCAAATCGTCCGAGTAGCGTCACCAATTATGGATTTGTCCTATTTCTTGTACTGTTGCTCAGATCAGCAAGTTCTGAAAGATTTTGATTTCATTCTTCAAGCTTATCATTCTAGCTTGACTGATTTTTTGAGTGAGCTTGGATGTGAACCCGAGGTGGCTTTTTCCTTTAAAAAACTTAAAGAGCAGTGGAAAGAGCACGGAAAGTATGGGTTAGTATTGGCTCTCTTTTTGCTTAAGATATCTTTGTGTGATTCTAATGAGGCTCCGGATTTGATGGAAACCGCCGAAAATGGTGAAAATTTTGCAGATTCGTTGAAAGTGGATATTCAGAACATAGATGTTTATAACGAGAGAATTAAAAACGTTTATTTGCATTTCGCGGAAAAGTTTTTGTGACATGAAACATATTTTTCTAAAGCAGATTTCATTAGCAGATAGCAAAATGGTAAAATACACTGGTACTAGTTAGAACTGTGGAAAAACAGAATTTAATCTGCACACATATTGTGCTTAGTTGGAATAATTTAACAGTTGTTTAAGAGTATCAAACTGTGTTGAAAATTACTGAAAGAATTGAAATAAAAGAAATGATTAATGTACGTTTTTATTTAATGTTAAACATTCCACCTTATGAGAAGTGAATGAAGATTACAAGAAAAAATTGGTCTAAAGAGTTTAGACAGTACTTCCCTCGCTGTCGGAAACGTGACGACTGCATGCCTATTATGTTTTTTTTTTCGCAGTGGATTTCAAAGAATTCGGTTTTGTAGTTCCTGAGTAAATCAATAAAATAAATTTACGCATTCATTAATTTTTTTGAGTCACCCTGTATATGCAAATCCAAAAAAAAATCAATGGAGTGATAAATCACAAGTACAGACTCATCATATTTTGTACAGTTTAGATAGGATTTATTCGGCAAACTTTCGAGCTGACGTCGTCAAGTTTTTGGAGGGGATAAGCAAATATATTTTGACTAAACATTTATTATGCTCTTTATGACCTTAAAACATCTGCAAGATTTCAGAGCATTCGGTTTTGTAGTTCCTGATTAAATCAATAAAATATATTTACGCGTTCATTAATTTTTTTGAGTCACCCTGTATTTGCAAATCCAAAAAATATGAATGGAGTGATAAATTACAAGTACAGACTCATCATATTTTTACAGTTTAGATAGGATTTATTCGGCAAACTTTCGAGCTGACGTCATCAAGTTTTTGGAGGGGATAAGCAAATATATTTTGACTAAACATTTATTATGCTCTTTATGACCTTAAAACATCTGCAAGATTTCAGAGCATTCGGTTTTGTAGTTTCTGATTAAATCAATAAAATATATTTACGCGTTCATTAATTTTTTTGAGTCACCCTGTATATGCAAATCCAAAAAATATGAATGGAGTGATAAATTACAAGTACAGACTCATCATATTTTTACAGTTTAGATAGGATTTATTCGGCAAATTTTCGAGCTGACGTCATCAATTTTTTGGAGGGGATAAGCAAATATATTTTGACTAAACATTTATTATGCTCTTCATAACCTTAAAACATCTGCAAGATTTCAAAGCATTCGGTTTTGTAGTTTCTGAGTAAATTAGTAAAATAAATTTACGCATTCATTAATTTTTTTGAGTCACCCTGTATATGCAAATCCAAAAAATATGAATGGAGTGATAGATCATAAGTACAGACTCATCATATTTTGTACATTTTAGATATGATTTATTCCACAAACTTTTGAGCTGACGTCATCAAGTTTTTGGAGGGGATAAGCAAATATTTTTTGACTAAAGATTTATGATGCTCTTTATAGCCTTAAAACATCTGCAACATTTCAAAGCATTCTGGTTAGCAGATTAAAAATTAAATTTCAAAATGTTGTTTTATAATTTTGATTTTTTTTCCAAAAATCTGGACGTTTCGAGTGAAAAGTCGATTCGGAGTTGTAAACTACATGTGTAGGACTATGTTATTTTATACAATTGAAAACCCATTTACTATGTACAATTTTGAAGTGACGTCATCGCATTAGTGGTGGGGATGATTAGACAAATTTTGGTTAGCGTTTTACCATCTACATGATATTCTTAATATAAGTACAAAATTTCACAACAATCGGTCGAGTACTTTCGGAGATTATCTGTCTAATAAAAATCCGGGACAACAGACGGACAGACGGACGGACAGACGGACAGACGGACAGACGGACAGACGGACGGACAGACGGACAGACGGACAGACAGACGGAAATGGGAGACCTATTTCTTCGTCTTCTAGGGGTCATGAAAGATCGAGAAAACGTAAAAGTAGAGAGTCGGCCGACGGACTCGATTACAATACTTCCTTTGCTTACGCTCGGGAAGTAAAAATCTTAAATACTTATTGTTTTCCTTTTAGTACAATAATGTTATGAAGTCAACATTGTCTTAAAAAATTTACATTACTATTACTCCGAAGAATTACATTTGTGCAATACATTTTTCTCAGAATAAGTTTTGTTAATAAATAAGTCATGCAACTACGCACATGCAGTACTCTGCACAGAATTTATTAATTACATCTCATTTGTAAACGTTACGTCAGCGAAAATTATGTTAACAATGGCTTCTCTTCTTTAATAGCCTCCTCATTTATTAAATAATGTTGAACGGTATAAAAATAAGTAACAGATGAGGTGTAACAAATTTTTGTGTGTGGATAACTGAAGTATAATATGTGGATACTTATAGTATAGTACAGCAGTGTTGTTGGCCAGCTAAATTCGGCATAAAATCTAGCTCATCTAGCTCCAGTATCTAGAAAGCTAGTTCTTTATAATTATTATTTTAACAAAAACTTTTTGTTTTCAAATTGATATTTCAAAGAATTTAGATTTAGCTTCAGCCAGTCATACTCTAGAAATATGTTCACCAAATAATTAAAAAATGGGTAATCCTGACTTATTTTTTAAAGAAATTTGCAATTAAATATCGGGTGTTCAGTTGAAAAAAATCATCAACTCGGTCTTGCAATTTTGTAAACAATGTGAAGTATGTCTACCATAAACCTAAAATTGAATCGATGAAAGTTACAACACGGAATGGTCACAACTTAACTTCATTTTTCTTTCGTATAATAAAATTAACTCTTTTCAGCAACTGTGTCAAATAATTATACAAAACAGTAGGCATTCATAGAACACATGTGCTTTTCACTATGTCTTCATCTATCAAAAAACAATCCCAACTTGATGACTTTTTCAATGAATTAGTGTTTTGTTTAAGTTAAATTAAAAATTATCTAGTCCATTGCACAACATAACGTAATTATTTATATAACATGTTTGAAATTTTTTTATTTTTTTAACATAGAGCCAATAGCTTCCAATTTTTAAGTAAACAATTAAATACTGTTCCATTTTGAAAAGCTGAGACATCTGTATTTTCACTTATTGTTTTAAATTTTTTTAGACAATAAGATATCAATGCAACCGTGTCTTAAACAGTATATTACTTTATAAATAAACGAATTTAACAACAATTTTTGCTCTGTTTATTTTCTTGGGTTATGGGTCCAACACAGTTAATTCTAAATGTAAACAGAAAAAATGAAACTTTTTACATTTATAATTATGCAGAAAAATTGTCCATTAAAAATACGCATAAGATTTTATTTCTAGATTGAGCATACGACAAATTGCCTGTTTTCAGACTACTGCAAAGTATGTGCAACATTTGTAAAGAATCTTGGAAGTTTGAGTAATTATGGTGTTTAAAAATAAAAAAAATACAATTTCAAAAGGATAAAGGAGCGTCTTAACTAATTTTTCCCAGTTCTCTTGTTTGATGAGGGTAAATATATCACAAGATATGTAGTAAATCACAAAGTAATTACTTAGAAATTATAATATACCAATTTTCTAATTGTTTTTGATAAAAGTTAAATAAATGGAGCACAAAAATAATAGGAGTATAAATCATGAAAATATGAAACAAATTTAGAAATATCGTCCGTTAAGTTATCACTTATGTTGTGTGAATGACAAGGCTAATGGAGATGATAAATCAGTCGTTTCAAAACTGAATTAATTGTTTTCATTTATATAAAAATGCATGCTGTGGAAATAATTTTAGGATAATTGTGGCTGATATATCTTTAACGTTATGAAAAGCATATAAAAGCCACACACATTTATAAACCACTTTAGTTCACCTCTGAACATTTTAGCGTTAAGTTAAATGTAAGGCTTTTTGTATAATTCCCTACCATTTATATCAAACTACTATTTTTTGTATTAATGGAAAGAAAAACTGATCGTGGTAGTGAAGTTCAAAAGTGGTTAAAAATTGCTCTAGCACAGGAAAATCTTTCATTTCTCAGTCCAGATGATCGGAAGTTCTGAAGAAGGTGACGGATACCTGGGAGACATAATTTTCGTTTGTGTAATAGGAACTGATAAAGAAGGCAAGAGCAAAGAATACGATCTTGTTTTAAAATGCAGTAAATCTAGTGCTGTTTTAATGAAAAGTGCACCTGCTTTTAGAACAGCATTTGTAAGAGAAGCTTTCATTTATGAAAATGTTTTCCCACTTTTCAAACAATTTCAATTTAACAAAGGTATCGAAAAACCTTTTGATAGTGTGCCAAAATGTTACGGTGCTTACAGTGATCAATTTAGACATGTTGTTCTGTTGGAAAATTTGAAGAAATTAGGGTACGATCTGTCGCCAAAAGCAAAACCATTAACAAGAGAAGTTATCGATACTGTAATAAGAGAATATGCAAAATTTCATGCGATTTCCGTGGCTTTGGAAGATCAGTTTCCTGAAAGATTTCAAAAACTGCTTCAAGACTCAACTGAAAATACACTAAAGGAGTTTATGGACAAATCTGGATTTTTAAATGTATTTAAAAATTCTGTGCAAGAGGTATATGATTTGCTAACGGATGATGTTAAAAATGAGACCTTAAGGCTCAAAGATCAAGTTGGTTTTATTTTTGGTGATATGACACCCAGTGTTGGCGATTTAAAAGTGTTAAATCATGGAGACTGTTGGATGAATAATTTTTTGTACAAATTTGAGGTACTTAAAGTAAGAAATTTGTATTTTAAGGTTAAATTAATTTATTTGATAGGACGAAGACAAAAAAACACGTTTTTAAGGTTGCGATTCTGGACTGGCAAATCTCTAAATTCACATCACCTGCAACTGATCTCTTATACTTTTTGTTTTCCAGTATATCAAAAGAAGATATTACTGACATTGACACTATTTTGAAAGACTATTATAGATACTTTTGCGAGTATTTAACTAGCCTAGATACCAAGGTTTCAGATAAATAGACCGTGGAAAAATTGTTTAGAAGTACGGCAGATATGGCGCAGTGTTCTACGTTTTACCAATCAAATCTTTATATTCGGAAAAAGAACACCTTACAGATGTGGCTGAAGCCGTAAACAGAGGAGCAGATATTATTGAATCGTTTAAATTTGAAGTGAAAGATGAAAGTGCCTTCAAAAACAGGTTGAGACCAATTGTTGAATATGTTGTTAAGAATAATCTAATTTAATGAAACTTTTAAATGTTAATTAACAATATTATTTGAATATCTTAGTTATCTGATTGTTAGGAACTATACAACGTTCTCGAGCTATTCAATTTTCGTTTCAGAATAGCAGTAATATTTTTATTTAAAAAATATACACGGTTTTTTTTAATTTATCAGTTTATCAAATAAGTAAAATAGTTAAATCGTCGAAAAATCATAGATAGACACATGATGCCGATGATTTGTAAGTTATAACTCATGGTGATTGAACAATTTTTTGTACAAAATTTACCGAATGTTTTTCGAAATTTAAAAGAACAAACAGCCCTGAATTTTCGTAAAAACAGTTAGACGTACATAGCACGATAGCTAATACGGAAAATCCACTTTTCCCCATCATCAAATAACGTATTTAGTAAATGACAAAGGCACTAATGGGCAGCTATATACTAATTTTACTTTCATCTTTTATAAACAATAAATCAGGAAGATAAATATAATAATTATCCTCTCCACAGATAAATAACTATATAAGTAGTTGTTGTTTGAAAGATAAGGGAAACTGAGACGATAAATTAATCGTTCTTAAATGGGATTATTTATATATTTTCAGTTGTACAAAAGTGGACGGTGTGGTTAAAATTTTCTATTATGAGTAAAGATATACTTAACGATTGTGCAAAAGATAATATATTTTTATCGTCATTCTCAGGATCATGACTTTACAAATTTTAAGCATTGATATAAAAGCCACACACATTTATTATTGGGTTTAGTTAACATTTGAACAGTCAGTCTAACTTTAAACTAAAAGTAAGTAAGGCTGTTTTTATAATTATCTAAATTTTTTTACTTTTTGTTACAATGGGAACAACAACTGAACTTGACAGTGATGTGCGAAAGTGGTTAAAAATTGCTTTAACAGAAGAAAATCTTACAAATTTTGCAGTCACGATAACAGGAACTTCCGAAAAAGGTGATGGATACGCCGGAGACATAATTTTTGTTTTTGTAAGTGGAACTGACAAACAAGGCAAGACCAAAGAATACGATCTTGTTTTAAAATGCAGCAAACCTAGCGCTGCTTTAATGGAAAGTGTACCCGTTTTTAGAAAAGCATTTGTGAAAGAAGCTTACGTGTATCAAAATGTTTTTCCAGTTTTCAAAGAGTTTCAAATTAGTAAAGGCATTGAAAAACCCTTCGACAGTGTACCGAAATGTTATGGCGTTTATAGTGACGGATTCAGATATGTTATAGTGTTGGAAAATTTGAAAAAAATAGGTTATGACTTATGGCCAAAAGCAAAACCATTATCAAGAGAAGTTATCAATATTGTGATAAAAGACTATGCAAAATTTCATGCAACGTCAGTGGCTTTGGAAGAACAACAACCTGAAAAATTTCAAAAATTGATGAAACACGCGGCTGAAGACGTAATGAGGAGTTTTTTAGAAACATCTGGATTTTTAAATACGTTTAGAAATTGTGTGGAAGAGGTACATGAGTTGCTAACAGATGAGGTTAAAAACGATATTTTAGAGACATGGTTAAAGCTTAAAGATCAAGTTGAATTTATTCTTGCTGAAATGGAACCTGGTGTTGACGATTTAAAAGTCATAAACCATGGAGACTGTTGGGTGAATAATTTTTTGTACAAATTTGAGGTACGTAATTAATAAATTTGTATTTTAAGGTAAATTTAATTTATACTCTAGAATGAAGAGAAAACAAGCGTTTCCAAAGTTGCGATTCTGGACTGGCAAATCTCGAAATTCACATCTCCTGTGACTGACCTTTCATACTTTTTGTTCGCTGGTATATCCAAAGAAGATATTGCTGACATGGACACTATTTTGAGAGATTATCATAAATACTTTTGCGAGTATTTAAGAAGGCTAGGTAGCAAGGTTGCAGACAAATATACTGTAGAAAAATTGTTTGATGAGTGGAGGAATTATGGCAGATATGGTGTATTATTTTGCATATTACCAATCAAATCTTTGTATACCGAAAAGGAAGACCTTCCAGACATGGCTGAAGCTGCAGACAGAGGAGAAGATATTAGTGAATCGTTCAAGTTTGAACTGAAAGATAAAAGTGGTTTTAAAAATAGGTTAAGGCCGATTGTTGAATATGCTGTCAAGAATAATCTAATTTAATAAAGGTTTTAAATGTTACTTAATAATAATAGTATAATTTCTAGCAGACTAGGAGTCTATAATGGAATACCAAACATTATATTGATTGTCATCATACGTAAAGCAAAGTAGAACAACCACCATAAATGGTGATATAAAATTTATAGCGCCTGATACCTTTTTAATAAATCAATCCTATTACTAGATACGAATACACATAAATGATCGTGAAATATGTCCAAGCTCATTCCAGTAGAAATTATATATTAGTCTTAATGCAGTTAGAAGTGAAGGTACTAGGTAGAGTACTTCCTGTTGAACATACAAATTCATTTCTTCCAAAAGCGCTTGATAATGTATACGCCCAAATATAAATTTTTGTACGAAAATTAAGGAGGCAACATCTCAACGGGCCCACAGTATATCCTCATTGACGATATTGCACAGAATTTTTGTGTCACAGTGTCGAATTGGATATGACTGATACATAATAAAGGTATTTACAAAATTTAACGGAGTACGTTTTCTACAAGAGTAATGTAAATTGGTTGATATGGGAACCATATAACGCAACAGTATTCTAATTTCGATCTGATTAATGCATTAAATAAGAGTTTTATGCATCCAATATTCTTAAAATCCTTCGTGTTTCTTATTATGAAACCTAAATTTCTCATAGATGAGTTTATGGTAGCCTAAATATGAGGTACAAAAGACAATTTTGAATCGATAATCACTCCAAGATTTTTAAACTGGCTGCAATGTTACAAAGGTATACCATTTATATTGAAATATAACTTATATTTATCAATTTTCCTAGTGAAAGATCCTACCTTGCATTTCTATAATTGAATTTAAGGAAATCATGCAACTGTTATCGGTATCTACGAAGACTTTCCCATTACTGACTATGTGGTAGCAGTTGGATCACTAGTAGGACCTAAACAGATACACTCAGCTTCTAGAATTTCAAATAACCGAATATGCATCTTTTTAAAATTGGTAAATTTAGTTGAATACTTAGTTAAGTCGGTTAAGAAAATTACAGTAAAAGACAAAGAATTTACTCTAAGAAAAATGATTACTCCACCTAAACGTCTCTTAATCTCCAATGTTTGTAGTTCTATACCACACCAAGTACTATAACCAAAAATTAAAAAATTTGGCTTAACAATGGTTTCCCCAATAACCACCCTGCGTGCAGGAATTCACCACGAGGCATATAGTCATGTTACTCCACCGTCAGAACTTTTTGTTTTACTCTCATCAACTGTAATTACACACGACGACACACTGTTTCACATATTCTTCAGTTTCGATGATATGACCTGTTTTTTGTGCAAGCAAGCAGGACATACGGCAAATAGATGTCCTAGTAAAATCAGACTCAGTAAGGGAAACAAACATGTCACTGTCAAATCCCTTTGAAACACCTACTGATACTAACATCCAGCAACACAGTTTAAATCCCGAAACTCTTTCCCAAGATGAAACCCCCAACAAGTACATAGTCCCTCAGCTCTTACCATCTCAGTTCGTACTATAACATCATAAAGAAATGCCTGAAAACAAGCCCACTGAAACTACAAAAAAGCGACCGGCCAGTCTAACCTCTGAAGAGCTCTCAGGAAAAACTCATCCACCTTCTATCTCTTCAGAAAATAACTTACTGCAAACCCCTGAATTTGTAATACCAAACCCCCGAAGACAACCCAAAAAGTTGAAAAGGACTGGATCATCTTCCACTGAATCACTGCAAGAACCACAGGAGCCTGCCTTGACTGATCATCTGGCGTCGTTGAAAATATGTTTTGACAAACCAAATCAGTTCCCCCTTTCTTATGATCAGTTCAGAGACTTTTTCTTAAATGTCCCAAATACTTCCGATCTCCTCCATCTGACCCAGCAATACACGACCAATATACATTTATTCATTGATATGCTCAAGTTGTTATATTCTCATCTACAAAATAGATCCATGAAAACAAGTTCACTAAAATTAGAAAACCCCTATACAAGCTCTTTAAACTTAGTTCCGAATCCGATACTAAAATTGATCAATCCCAATGTAGCGACTTCTTCTAATCAGTTTTCTTCATATTACAGTGGAATTTAAACGGGTATTACGCCCATCTCGCTAATCTACAACTTTTACTCTCCAGTCTTAGTCCACGCGTAATAGCACTGCAAGAAACTAATTTCTCAGATAACAAAATTCACTGTCAAAAAACTTACTCTCTGTTCTATAAAAATCGAGTAGATTGTAAAATTGCCTCAGGAGGTGTAGCTATAATGTTTCATGACTCTGTTCCCTCGCAAGAATTGAAAATTCACTCACCATACGAAGTTGTAGCTCTGCAAATCCAATATCCACAGCAAATAACTATCTGCAACATTCGATCAAACAGGCGACATACTTGCTCAACTGTTAGATACCTCCGACTTAGTTCTTTTAAACACTGGACAAAGCACCCGTTTTGATGCAGTAATCGGCATTATACTCTTGATTTAACCTTTTGTCATCCGACTTTGGTTCATCCGCTAGAATGGACAGTACTGCCTGATCTGAATAATAGTGATCACTTTCCGATCCATATACAGCATATGTCTCCACTGCATTAACATTGATGCGTGCGACCCAAATGGAAAACTTCTCGAACAGACTGGGAGTTTTACGCCAACCTTATAACTAATAAACTCTTCTCTGCAAATGTTTAGCTTCAACCAACGGAGATGATTGAAAATTTAATCAAACTAATCACCGAATCTGCGATGGCTGCAATGGGCAAAACCACAAGCGTTGTCAACCGCAGGACTGTGGCCTGGTGGAACAAGGAATGCCAAGAAGCCGTCTCAGCTTGTAAAAAGCTCTCACCCGTCTT